TACTTTCTAAGCGTAGAGGCACGGTAGCCTCATGGTTAGTGTGCTCCACACTGGATAGAGCGGTGCAGGTTCAAGTCCTGGCCAGGGACATCGCATTGTGTTCTCGTGCAAGACACTTTAATCTTACAGTGCCTCTTTCCAGCCCGGTGTATAAATGGGTACTGGCAAATTTAAATAATGCTGTGCCAGGTAGCCCTGTGATGGACTAGCATCCCATCCAGGGAGGAGTAGAAATATTGCTAATCACTTCATGCTACGGAAACCAGGAGAAGCTCCAACCTGATGGGCTACTTAGCTTGTTTGGATACTTTTTAGACCACTTTTCAAGCCCAGTTCCCATGGGTAACACACATGTAGATGTACATGTATGCATGTAGCGACCTAAAGTATATTCTTGAATTCTTCCTCAAGGAGAGGGAAATGTGCGATAAAAAGTTTGTTAATTTAATGTTTTCTCATGATCAGTCAGTACCATAAGGTTTTGTTATGAATCCTCTGTCACTTTTTCTTTGATTTGATAATGAATAACCTATAAGTTGGTGGAAAAACTCTGTTATGTATGTTTTGAGTACAGGCAGGGAACTTGTTCATACTGAGGACACTTGAAAATAATATATGAAAAATTGTAATTTGTTATTAATAACTTTTTTTTTTTGAAACATGAAACATGCCACTTAACATGCATGCACTTTTTGTAAAATTTTTTTAGGATTATCCAACGTGGGCTTTCCACATATTAAACAAAAGGATAAACATTCTCACAGAATGTAACACTGACCGTAAAAACAACTGCTTAATCCCTTTTTTTTAAAATAGAATATTTATAAAGGTGAATTAAGAGCTGCATTCATTTGGATAATCACTGAATGATACATAAATTAAGCAAAAACTGTCAAGTGTTAGGTTAGGGCTCCACTATCCTCTCCATCAAAAACCTATTTTCGCTTGTTAATTAATTTGGACCTGTTTTGTTCCTGAGTAAAATAAATATTTAATATTAAATTTTTAATACTTGACTCTATGTGTTGATTTTGCATTAACTGGAGATGTGTCCGGTTTAAAATATCAGTTAATACATAGTACTAGGCTTAGGAAGGTCCACTGTTGTCAACTTTTTCTTACTAGTTTAATATTATCTTGTTTTTAGCATCTATAATCATGATAGCACAAGAATATTAGACTCAAACAACTCAGCTATGGTTTATCAGTTTGTATCCACACAAAAAAAGTTTTGTTTTGCTTTGCAGTGTGTACAGACTAAAGCTTCAGGATCAGATCTTCATGTCAAACTTCCTCATGAGAGTTTATTATCCATTAGCTTGACAGATAAAGAGTTAAAACAGAAGAATGAGCTGCAAGCTTCTCAGAGTACATGTGGTATGTAAAGATCTATGGGTGGCACATGGTCCTTCATAATCCTTGAGTCACAAAATTTTCTATGAATTTCACAGGTTTCACAGTCTTGTTTTTCATGTAAGTCTCCCAGTCTTTTTTTTTTTTTTTTCACAAAGCTGACTCAGAGTCTCAGTTTTTGCAAGACTTAGAAATTCTCATAGTCCTGATTCATATGTTTGTATTTACAACTGATGTCTGAACAGCTCAGAATCTGAACGTCTCACACTCGCATTTAAAGCACTTTGAAGTCTCGGTCTCACAATTTAAAAAGTCAAAATTTCTTGGGCTCCTAACGAAAAGTGCCAATCTTGTCTTCATGCAAAGTCTTGCAATTACAATTCACCACCCCTAGATCTAGTGTAATTTATTTTACAACTTTTGAAGTACAATTTAACTTTCTCCAATTTTTCTGTGCTGGGAAACTATTTTTTTATGACTGGATCTGATAATGAATATTTTTCATTAATATCGGTAATAATATTTCCAATACATGTAAGTCAAATTTAACTGCTTCAGATATATATATACTGAATATGTGATTCAATTTGCCCTCGAGAGTGCTCAACAGTAA